ATCAGTACACTTGTTTTTATTGAAGAAACAGTCACAGTGAGATGTTAGGTGAGGAGCTGCAGACAACAGGCTCTTACTGACCTATGCAAACAGCTCACCTCCAACAGGTAAACTTCGTTTACTTGCTGTGCTGTGTCATGGAAAAATACTGGCAGCAAAATAACAAGGGACTTAAGCTGTGGATTAGCCTGCTGCTTTAAAGTGTCATCACTCAAGACAAGCTGTCATCAGTTAAAAACGCACCTTCAAGCAGGCAGCCTGTTGTAATGGAGATGTATATCCCTGCCGTCCTGGGCTGACGTGCCAAACCAAACCAAGTCAAGCCAAGCTGGCATGTCTGTGCACTAAGTATGCACATGTGTGCATCCCACTGGCTAGCCCATTGCTGTCACTTAGCACTGCACTCATACAGTGGTTAACATTGATATCAGGATGGCATTGTCATGGAAGCACAGCGGCCACCGTCCAGTTCCCCCCCTGGGTAGAACTGTCAGCACTGTTGCTGTTGTTTAGCACTGTTTATGGAATTAGCACTGTTAGCTGCTAGCCGCTGGCTCAGCCACCTCCATGCTGAAAACTGTGTGCAGACAACTGATACACTTTCAATTTTGCATCAAGCCCCTTTAAAGGAATAGTTGACATTTTGGGGAAAGTGCTTTGGTATTTTATGTTAATCATGTTTGACGAGACTTTGATGACAAGATCAGCACTACTATAATGTCTGAGGGTGGTGACTGTTTGCAAGAAGGTGAAAAGAGTCTATGTTGAACCACTTCTTTCAGAGAAAGTCATACCTGGCTATTGGTATGAGGCAGAACAGGAGGTAGTGTTACAGAGGGCAGTTTGAGTGTACGTCAGTGTTCCTGTGACGTCCTCGTTTGCTGACATCACAGTTCATGAGTGCAGTGCAGCAGCCGGTCTCCTATGACAGGACAAATGTCAGATAAAAAACACAAGGGTAAGCGTAATTTATGTTTATTATTCAGATAAACGCTTTGCTACATTTTTAACAAGCTTTTGCCTCATCCAGCAGTTGTGCCATCATCAGTTATACAGACAGCCCAGCTTCTGTGCCCAGTCGAACTTAATAACACCCAGCAGCCTCACTGCAGAGCCACGTGTTGAGACTGATAAACAGATGAGAACGACGACGACATCAGCTCTCTCACTGTGACACCCTCTTCTCCGCTGTCTCTCTTAAGGCTCCATCACATCTGTGTCAGAGTATCTCTTTGTGTGGCTCTGAAATTAAACCAAATTGGATTTTACCCCCCTCATATGTTACATAGACATGTCACTCAATGCATGTAACCTATTTGACTTGTGTTTTCAACACTGAAATTGTTGGGACTTGTCCCTGTTGACATAGAGGTCATCATCCAGAGACATGGTGTCATAATTTCAGTTCTCCAGCAGCTCCAGCTTAGCAGTGATAGCGTGAAGGACAAAAAGGACAAAAAATGGAAAGAAGCCAAACCAGCTTAGATGATTCATTGATGGTATTTAAGAAAATGCACCAATTCAGTCAAAAGCCAGAGGCACAAACAGGTGTGAAGCATTTTGGTACAAGTAGAAGAGGCAGCAGGAAACAAAACAATTCAATAGATGAAAAATAGTGGAGCATAAGATGAAATGTTTGGTGCGAGGGTGGTACCAGTATAGAGGGTGTTGTTGCATTAATCAAAGGGATTTCTTTGTACAGCAGCCATTTTAGGACATTTCACACTCAGCTTGTCAGGCTCAGCTCAACACTGTCTGACTTTGCTTAGCTTGTTTCAGTTTATGCTGAACTTTGTCAGTCTCAGCTGTACTGTGCTCTACTTTGAGCTGAATTTTAATGTTAGCATGCTATCATGCTAAGTCAAAGTCATTGTAAAGCAACGTTTATACTTCTGTGGTGAATCAGCACTGTACTATATGGTCCAAGCTCTGTGTAGATGCAAACTTTTTTTATTTCTTTTTTATTTTATTTATTTATTTATTTTTTAATGCTTGTATGTCCCCTTGGCTCATTCTGTGTCCCCTCTCTAAATTTGGAGGGTTTTTTTTGTTTGTTTTTTCTCAGCAGCAGTTTGTAACTGGCGGAGTGGATAATTGATCTTCCAAGCCATTTAGAGCTGATCAGGTCAAAGAGGAGCAGCTGCTGCAAGTGAATACAAACTCTTAGACCCAGCAGTGGGAACAGTTAAGTTTCACCCTCAGTGCGCCTGGCGTTCTTCTGCTCCATCCTTGCCCTGAGTATGCTCCGACAGTGTGGTGCTATAAATGACCAAACGTATATATATTCCAATAGCACTCCTAATGAATGGTCTAGCTCCAAAACTAAAAAAATCTATTTGATGGCAGCAGATGTTCTAACGATGGCGGACCGCCACAAATAAATTAATGTGTGGAAAACCCTGGAGCTTTTATTTGCTTTTATGTCACAGCTAAAAAACAATAAATTGTGAAGTCACTAAAGCCTCCATAATAGAATAGAATGCCTTTATTGTCACTATACGCATGTACAGCAAGATTAAAAGCAGCTCCAGTACCAGTGCAAGCAGTGTAAAAATATACAAGAATATACAATATGGACAAAGGATAAATAGTGCAAAGAGAGGGGGGTGGGGGTGTAAGGGGGGGCATATCTGGTGATGGTCACCGATATCCAAAAGTGTCTGGCGGGTGAACTGAATGTTCGCAGAACCGATAGTGCACGAACAGGCAAGAAAGAAGTACAAAAATGACAAAAAAGAGCACTGAAGAGGAGAGCCATGAGCCGCTGCGACCATGCGCGCCGCCATCTTGGAATGCAAAATAGCATTTGAAGTCTTGTGGGTGATTTATGTCATAAGCTTGTGCTGATAAAGTAGCCTGTTGTATATGTGGGAAAAAACGTGTCTAGCATTAGACAAATGTTTTGTTTGTGAACCTTGAGTTATAATGGAGGCAAATTTTGTAACCTTACCTTTGGTAAATGTTACTGTTGTCCCTGGCTTCATATGAGTAGAGGGAATGTCTGCTAGCTATTAGGCTAATTAATGCTATGTAAAATGTCATAGGCTTATGCTAATAACATTACCATGTTGTGTATGTGGGGAAGATGTGTCTGTAAACCTTGTAAGTTATAATGAAGCCGAATTTTGTCGGTTTGTTAAATGTTGTTGCTGTTGAGCCATCTTTTATGTGTGTTTTGTGTGTGTTAGTGTAATCAGTGAAACTTTACTGCACTTCACAGAAACACAGCACAGTAAGCATACTAGCATTTTGGAGGTGTAATTGCAGAGCAGCACTGACACACCACCACACAAGTATAAATTCTCACAATGGTGTAGGTTACTTATGTAGGCTATTGCATAGAGGGAAAGTCAGGGCATCACCAAAGTATGGAGATGCAAAGTCGATATGTCGGATTAGTATCGTGCAAATACTGACCACATTAAATACATTATTTGTCAATATAAAATTAAGTGTTTTTCACTCTCAGTTACGTTCATTCAGTCACAGCTGCTCTGTTTTCAGTGCCACGGCAATCTCTGTCCTCATGTTGTATTATGTAAAAATGATTCTTACAAGTTTCATGCTGTGAGGTATAATTTTAAATATGGAGAGAGTACTGGTATTGGATTAGTACTGCATAATCAGAGAGCTTGAGTTGAGCCATTGGAATTGGTATCGAGCGAAAAATTTTGATTGGTGCTTAGGTTGTCAGCGATACTGTATCATATTCATATATTCAGTGATTAATGATCCAATATTAAAGGCCTTTATTTTGACATTCCCAAAGAACGCCTTTTCCATCCAAGCACATCTTCCTAAACATACATTAAGCTAGTAGTAAATTAGTTACTCATGAGAATATGTTAAGTAAAAAGGGTAGGTATAATCAGCTTCAGCCTACTCCTGTTCACTCTGTATTATTTGTTTTTCCTTTCAATTTAATGCCTTGATGTTATTTATTCTTTATTGCGTGCATTGTTCTTGGAATATTGTTAACAAGGACCAAAATAAGTTACCACTAACTTACTAACACTCAAACAGTGCTAGTGGCCTAGCACCAGGCAGATAATGGCAAGCTGCCAAGAAAAAGATGATGAAGATATTTCCAAATCCAAATAGTATTATGGCAGACTTTGTGACATCAGCAAATGTTGTGTCATTGGCCAAAGACTAACTTGGTACTGTGATGAAACTTGTGATGTCCACTAGTAATTAGTGCATCCCTACACCAGAGTAATTAGGATTCAGTCTCTGGACCAAGAGTGTTTAAACCAAATGTCATTCCAGTCCCAGATACATTCCCATCAGTTGTTACAGACTGGATAGAAACGCTGGAGAGACCCATCAATCGACCCGTTGCCTTTTTATGTGTTACACTGCTAATGTGGCTGTCACTCTGCGTGTGTTATTTTTTAATATTTCTATGAGCTCATATTTATGTTTTTCCCTGAGAATGACCACATTATATCAGAGGGACAATGATTCAGAAAAAGAGTAGCATTTCAGAACGCACGTAGTCCTACGCTTTATTTACCCCTTCATTGTTACAGCATGCTCTGCGTGCTGTTCGTGCTCAACGTGCACACTGCATGGTCTCTGCTTATGTAACACCTGCTGAGTAATGTAGGAGGTGCCTTGATGCTGCTGCACAGTGTGGGTCAGTCAGGTACTCGTGGTGGGTTTTGCCTTAAAGCTGCAGAGAGGAAGATCAGGAGTTAACACAGGCTGAAGATCAGGCCACGATTACGTGGGGCCAGCATGACAACCAGATTATTGTTGCTTCGCTTATTGGTGTGAAGTCAGCTGAAAGATAACAATATAAAAGATGACACACAGAAAATAAATGAACAAGGAGAGTGAAGTTTGACTTCATATTCACTGACAAGTGTGCTGAAAACACCTGTGCTACTGGGCGCAGGTTGTTCTAGCGTTTGGAGCAATCTGTATGTTTTGTGAACTGATTTGTCTGCGTAATTCTCTGTATAATTACATTCCTCCTGTCTGTGTGTGTTTTGTAGATGGGAGGAAGAGTACACAGCCAGAATGGACCTGCAGGAGAAGGTGGCTGAACTCGAGGAGGTAAAGTGACATTAAAAATATCATCAAACTGCTTCACTTCAGAACTCCATTACGATCTTCTCACTTTTTCTTACGATCAGCTTTTGATTGTTGCCATATTTTCCTGTCTGCAAAATTCTCTTCATCTTCTCTAGCTCTTCTGAACCAATCTCAGCTCTTTTTCCTTAAAGCATAATGAATGATCCAAGGGATAAGAACGCTTTGTGACAGGAAGCAACAGGCTTTATGGGAAATGTCGTCTTTATTTTGAAATACATCAAGAAAGTTTGATGTAACAAGAAAAAAGTCATTAACATCTGTAGAAAACTGTCCTACAGATATTCTTTTTTATGATTTGATTGAAGGCAATCAGGGGTCTGATCTATAACTGCATCTTCAATTAATTTAGGTTAGATGGAAAATCACATTATCCGGAGGTTGGAATATATGAACCCTCTGACGGTAAAACAGATTGCACAGTTACAAGAACCACTTTCCTACTCATCTAATCTATATACTTAAGACATAACCTGTGTGTGTGTGTTTTCCAGGACCTGCAGGAGAGCGAGGTGTGTCAGGACGAGCTGGCTCTGAGAGTGAAGCAGCTGAAGGCCGAACTCGTCCTCTTTAAAGGACTCGTTAGCAACGTAAGTCGACTCTGTGCTGTGGGTTAGCTTTGATTTTTAAATAGGAAAGATTTCTGAAACTGACCAAAAGATTCAGGATTCCACAATATTTTTGAAAGTATGTCTTTTGATTCACAGTCATTTCCCCCAGAAAGGTTGTTAGGTCAGGTGGCAAGTATCTTTATTAGACAGGGCTGGCACTGGACAGTGGCCCAGTGTCTTTTTTAGGGGTGTAACAGTAAACATAATTAGTGTTTTGATATGCTTGATATTTTCAGTACAGCTGAGAAAACAAAACCTAAAAGCAGAAGATAATCTTTTTTCATTTATTTGAAAAAAAACTTAACATGTAACTGTAGGTAACTGACACAATTCAAATAAATAAATAATACAAATGTAATGTAGTGCTCCATTATAACACTCTGACCTTCCTCCTGAAATGCAGCTTGCAGTTGCCCTTTATACAGGCAGTAACCACAGACTGACTAAAATGTACTTGTGAAGATACATTGTGACGGGCCCCAAGCACTCTGACGATTTGTAATACTAAAGACTTTCCTTTTGAGTCGAGCATATTCTTAACTGAACACACCACAAATCTAAATAGTATATGTTGGTTCACATACACATGCATGCATTGATGGCTATTTCTGTGTTATCACGCAGAAAAAATCATTCACTCTGTAATGTTGTGATATAAGATGATGAAATAAAATGAATACTGATTTAACATGACCAGATTAATGACCATTTCTGCTGCCCTCCCTCTTTGTCTGTAGTTTACTAGTGAGGCTAGCTAGCTAATGTTAGTCAATGTGAAAATAGCAACTTTAAAAGGCAAAAAACAGTAACATTAGTTAAACTAAACACTCTCTTGAGGGTAAAGAACATTGGGCCTCAGTCACCAACCGTGCTTAAAGGGGAACTAATGTTTTTTTCAACCTGGGCCCTATTTTCTGATCTAATTTTGTCTAAATGAGTGATAGGATGTTCAATATTTGACATTTCTCCAGTACGAAGCTAGGGTTGACCCAATTTTGACCAGCTGGATCTGGATGAGCCATTTGAATTTGACGACTGCCTGTATTTATTTGAACACGGAGTACACGGACATACAAGGATGCAGAGCTCATTGAAACTGAAGAGCGGACGAGGAGAGGGAGCAGTGTTACTTCGGTTACACATATACTAAAATTGCAACAGGCAGAGGAACATGTCTGAATCCAGCTAAAGGTAAAGACAGACGTTCATTTCTCCTTTCTGTTATGTTGTCGGATAATTATACTAACAATCCGAGCCTATCTGTGTGAAAAAAATTCACTTTTAGTGGACGTATTTTGACGTTTGACGCTGTCTGAGTGCCCTATTATTTAATATAGCGCACTCTCGCGGGCTGCAGGCTTCGCCCTAGCTTTGTACAGGAGAAATGTCAAATATTGAACATCCTATCACTCATTTAGACACAAGTAGATTGGAAAATAGGGCCCAGGTGGAAAAAACATTAGTCCCCCTTTAAGAAGAAATTTCTTCTTAAAACCTTCTTCTGCAGTTTTCAAGAAGATTCTGACATTCACCAGTGTTTTCTTATTTGGGATTTGTTCTTAGGTAAGAACAAAATTTACATCTCTTGACTCTGTCCTCAGTCCTGACAGTTGTGCTACTATAATTCCTAAAGTTTACAGGTCGGGTGGTTGAATGACATGTACTTTTAGCATCCCATGGATCTTTTAGTGTCATTTTATATCCACTCTTGGTACTCCAACCTCCTCAGGCTTGAATCAGTTGACTTGATTCTCTCAACTTTCGTTCTTCTTTAATTTCTGAGTGTGCACACGGCCCTGCAGTCTAATGCACTTTTATGGGGATTTGCGGGGAGTTTACCTATGCTAATTAGGATTAACTGGCATGTGCTGTCAATGAGGACAATTGGATTTATCATTAGCCTATAAGAATACAGGTGTTAACAATTCTGCCATATAACAAGATGTTGTGAATCTGACGTAGACATTTCTTTGGACTTTTGTAAAGGACAAAAACTTTGATGGAAATTGGTGAATGAGGCTCATTGATCTCAGTCCTGGTGTTTTCCTTCTGTGCGTTCATATTTCACCCAAAAGATATCACTGTTGTGTTTCTAAGGATGACACCCCACTGTAACTGTAGTTAAACATATTAAAAATACATTTAAAAAAGTCCCTGATGCTTAGGCCAAGCAGGAGTTCAAGGGCAGATGGGCAGCCTGGCTCACATACAATGGTGCAAACCCTGCATTTAGTGGGGTTTTTTTTTTTCATTTTGTTCTGTTTTTCATCTGTTCAAATCTTATTTTATAAGCTCTGATGACAGACAGTTAAGGGTGTACTGGCAGAGTGCATACTACGTCAGTGGGATGTAGAAAACAGGTGTTTGGTCAGGGTGCACCATTAAAGGTCATTGACAGGGTGATGACTTTTCCTGTAGGTACAAAATGCTGGACATCTTGCTGAGTCATGACAGAAACAAAACAGATTTTTTTGATGACTGGAAAATAAGAATCCTTGATGTCCTCATCAGAACCTGTCAGATCTGGACAGTAAAATCCAGGAGAAGGCAATGAAGGTTGACATGGACATCTGCCGCCGCATCGATATCACCGCCCGCCTCTGCGACGTTGCCCAGCAGAGGAACTGCGAGGACATGATCAACATGTTTCAGGTATGTTTTTAGTGATAAAAGATATCCTCAACAAATCATCCACTTTCACTGCACTACACTTAACATGTCTCCTCTCAGCAGGTGGCCACACCCCCCTCCACTATGAGTGGCCGGGCCAGGAAACAGAGTGGGCAGTCAGCAAAGGGTGCGGATGGAGACGAACTGAGCATGTCCGAAAGCGAGGGAGGCGGGGCTAAAGATGAGGAGTCCTGCAGCACGTCGGCCAATCAGATCAACGAGCAGATGCAGAGGATGCTGAATCAGCTGTAGGTGTTTTGGCCATAAATGTTTAAACATATTAAATCATGTAGTCGACTTGTCTAATCTGTGTGTGTGTGTGTGTGTGTGTGTGTTTGTGTTAAGGAGGGAGTGTGAGTTTGAGGATGACTGCGACAGTCTGGCCTGGGAGGAGACGGAGGAAACTCTTCTGCTGTGGGAAGATTTTCCTGGATACCCACTGGGAGTGGAAGCACAGGGAGAGGTGCGTACACACACATTATCTTCACTTATTGCACTTGGAGTAGCCTTCAAAAAGATTTGAAACTGAAAGAGTTGGTCTCTCTGCCTGATTTTAAAGTTCTCATGAGTACATAGGTGAATGAATCAGCTAGTACTTGTCATTGTGTGTAACTATTTTAATATTTCTTCATCTTATTGCATATGCTCTATGTTGTTTTTGTTGTGGTTATTGTTGTTTGTAACTTTATCTATTGCCGCTGTCTTGGCCTGGTTTCCCTTAAAAAAGAGGTCATTGATTTACCTGGACAGACATGGGTTAAATAAGAATAAAATGAATACATTTCACTTAGTGTTATAGATTTTAAGGACCAGTGTGTAGGATTTAGGGGGATATATTGGCAGAAATGAAATATAACATACCAAGTATTTTTTCTTTAGTGTATAATCACCTGAAAATAAGAGTTGCTGTGTTTTTGTTAACTTAGAATGAGCTGTTTATATCTATACATGGAGTGGGTCCTTGTGACTCTAGTTAGGGATGTTTGTGTTTTAGTGTTGGCCAGTGTAGTTAAGCCCTTCTGTGACAAGAAGTACAGCATCGTACAAACACTGATTGGTAACATGAAACTGCTTCATTCAGTGTTTTACTGATTTAATTCACTGGGTCCATTTGTCCTCCTCAAGGTCTAGATCTTAAGTCATTAGAGAAAAACGGAGAGCACACATTAGCAGGTGCTAGGCTAGTGGCCCGTCTACGACATGCAGAACAGCATCAGAATAACACTGAAACTGCTTTACTCAGTGTTTTTACTGGCTTTACATATCTGGTCTGTTTGTTTTAGAGAGGAGGAGACCCTGTGGATAATCCAGCTCCTGGTATAAAAAAAAGTCCTTAACTTGACCACTGAATGAATTCTTCCCAGGAGAAGTTTCAGCTGGTTGCTCTCTGTAATCCTCACCACTAGATGCCACCTAATCCTACGCACTGCTCCTTTTAAACAACACTGAAAAACCATTTAAATGCAGCACTTTAATGTTTGTCCCCATTATTTACAAGTTTCAGTCAAAGATCTGAGACTTTCTTTATGCACACAAAAGACATTTCTCTCAATTTTGGTTGCAGATTTGTTAAAATCTGTGTTAGTGAGCACTTCTTCCATCCACCTGACAGGTGTGGCATATCAAGATGCTGATAAAACAGCATCATTACTACACAGGTGTGCCATTGGCTGGTCACAAAAACTCACTAAAATTGACTTAGTTCTACTGTTCCAACAATCATCAACTCTAGTTTGGTCGAAATAAACTCTCAATTCACTGAGTTAGATATGAAAATATGTCCTTGTTGTCTCTCTCTGCCATTGCTGGCCGGCTTTTTACTAGTCCTCTAACGTTATCCCCACCACTGGCTACCGCCTTCTTTCTCAACTTAGCTGCCAGTTTCATCAGTAAAGACTGACCTCTAGTGGCACGTATATTATAAAGATGAGCATCTGTAATTATGATTATATTAAAAATCATACCGCATGCATGAATACGGTGGTATACCATAAATACTGTGATACCGCCGACTAGCCTACTTTCTGACCATCATGTGTAAAAGCTTTAAAAATAAGTTACGACTGAAAATACCTCAAAAATATATAAATAAATACTTTATTTGATAAAACTGCAATATAAAGTATAACAGACAATTTCAAACAGGAACATGATAACTGTTACCCCAAGATACTGAAATACGAATCTTTAAAAACAACAGATACTGAGAGGTCAAACTGCCTTTAATATGTGAACACTCTATAACAGAGAAGCACTGACAGAACAGGAGTCACCCAGGCGGCAGCCGCCATCAGCAGCACTTAATGTAGCTCACAGTGTCTCATCCACCTCTGTACAGATCTGTTTTCCCACCGTCAGTAAAGCCACTGGTGTTTCCTGTCGGGGGCAGCTGTACTCTGTCCTACTTCTCTGACCTGGTGGACGTTTGTTTTTGAGTTCAGTCTGATGACACTGATGGTTGGAGTCTATCCTGGTGACCTGTAAGCTGTTGTTGATTGAATTAGCCAGAGAGTCTGAAGACCTGCTGAGTGCAGAGCTGAAAGAGGCCAATGCAGATTAAAAGACCTTTACACACCTGTGGTGCACTCACACTGTGTTTTCTTGCTTATTTTGACTGCTTGGGCCTCAGTCTCTTCAGGACTGTGTGGTTTGAGGTGGATTTTATTAGCCTATATTTTAGTGTTTACATTATTCTGTCCACTCCTACTTATACTATTTTTTATTATATTTAGTGTCTTGTTTAAAAGGTTGTCAGCTAACATGGACTCTGGGGATGAAAACTTTACTTTTACGTCCAAAAGCCCGTTCTAATGAGGAAGCCATTAACAGCTTCAGTTCCCCATCTATGCTCTCGTCAGTGTCACCAGACTCCATTGACAAAATCAGTAAATTTGGCTTGCTGAACACGAGAGCTGTTGGTCTACCGCTGCCCTGATAAGTTAGTAGTTTGTGTTATTGTGTGACTCTGCTGAATCCAAACTAACCCTTTCAAAAGCCAAAGTCACAGAGTAACAGAAACAAAGTGCCTGATAGAGGCAGCGGTACACCAGCAGCTCCTGTGTTCAGCAATGTTAAATCGCTGTTTTTCTCAATGGAGCCTGGCTTTGAAGAGAGCAATGTAACAGCTTCAGTCCCCTGTCTAGGCAAAGCAGTGAAAATATTCGAAATATAGCATACACTGAAAATGACAGTGATTTTTTTAGGTGGCTGAAATATATTTTTCTGCTGCCCCATCTGCAGCAGTACATTTCCTAGCTTCGCTGTCAGACTCCAGCCTGCTTCTTCAAACTGGGGGCGAACCGACTCCCCTCTTCTTTCTGTAATACACTGACTATTGATAAATACCTCATACAGCCCCACATCAAAAGATCCAAACGGTCCCTTTAACAGAAGCCCTGTCCCTAGAAAGTATTGATGACTGATGACACCTGCAGCTCAACGTTGGCTGTATCTGTGCAAATGAACAGTATTTTTCTCTCTTTCTCTTTTCCCAACATACACTTACTGTATCCAGCTTCAGCAGCAGGAGGAGTCCATTGAGGATGTGATAAAAGACACAGAGACTCTGTTCAAATCCAGAGAGAAGGAATACCAGGAGACCATCGACCAGATTGAGGTGAGTGCGCTAATCAGAGCTGAAGTGAATTCATGTGATGATTGTATGTTTCTTGCCAAAATGCCCCTGGGGAGTCTTACTTAACATCTACCTTGATTTTTTTATGTACACAGGCTTGTTCCTTTAACTTTTTATTAAAAAACCATATTTTTCTGGCACATTTTTACTACCCCAGAACCAGGGGTGCCCAAAATGGCTCCTATGACTTGGCCACTCTGTGGTATATAAACTATTAATTGGTGTAATTAGGGATAATAGTGTCAGTAATCTCAATTTGTGGAGTGTGTTTTCTGTCCTGGTCAGCTGGAACTGGCCACAGCCAAGAAGGACATGAACCGTCACTTGCACGAGTACATGGAGATGTGTTCAATGAAAAGAGGGCTGGACGTTCAGATGGAGACTTGCAGGAGACTCATCACACAGAGTGGAGACAGGTAACACACACACACACACACACACACACACACACACACAAGAAATCGAAACCAACCACTAGAAACAGAGGAGGAAAATGTCAGAGAGTGAATGATATGACGATAAGCACTCAGTTGCAAGTTATAAGGTACACCAAGCTGGAACTGGGGCAGTTACTGTCATTAAGGTTAAATGTAAGGTCATATATAAGGCTCAATGTTTTTGCCTCATCGTGTGAGATTTTTTTAAGTTTATATCTTGAATAATAATTTAAACTTTAAAAATAACAATTTAATTCAGTTTTCTTCATATAAGTTAATCAAATGCTGAGATATAGGCCTACTGTGTATATATTTTTAAAACATTTCTTACATCCCTTAAATCAAGAAGGCCTCACAACCCTGTGTTTGGCTTTGGCGACACCTGTCAGACATTTGTGTGAAATTGTGTTATAATTGGCACATGAATTGACATGAGTTATGGCCAAAAATGTATTTTTGAGGTCACAGGGACCTTTGACCTCCATACTCTAATCAGATTATCCTTGAGTTCAAGTGGACATTTGTGCCAAATTTGCAGAACAGATGTACAGACAACCCAGACACATAATACCTCCAGCCACGGCATCACCAGCTTGTCAGGCTGTTGCTGTAAAGACATTTTCCTTGCAGGTGGCTCAACAGCAGGATGTATGGTACTACAGCCTTTTGCAAATTACTTAATTTAATCTGATTGTAGTGCTTTATAAATGAGCTTTATTAGGTACAGTATGTTGTTTGCCATTTAAATGGCAAAGATAACACAGTTTTAAAACAAATTAAATACTTGTTAGTTTTTAAATGAAGAACACATAAGGGCAATGAGGCACAGTAAATGGCGCAGTGTTTTTTCATCACACGCTTTTGTTGCATTTGGTTGTTATGATACTGAATATTCACTGGAGTAAAAATGCTCTGATGAAAGTAAGGCCGAAGCGTGTAGGTATAGAGGACGGACCCGCCGGTCTGTGTGGGTTGGTTATAAATTTCTCCTTCATTGTGGTTAATGTTCAGTGACATGACGGTTTGAAGCCAAGTTTGAAGATGTGTATGGTCTGAACAAGGGTGCTGGAAGTAGGTGGTAGGAAGTAGTGATGGCCAAATGAAGCCCCATGAAGCATTTTCTTTATTTTAAGAGCCCGCTAGATGGCATTCTTGGTTTAAACAGGGAGGTTCAAAGAATGGCAATTGACGGTGCTTTCAACCTTTTGTTAAAAAAACAAAACAAACAAACAAAAAAAAAAAACGCACCATCTAGTGGGCTTATAAAAAAAGAAAATGCTTCACGAGGCTTCATTTGGCCATCACTAGTAGGAAGTACGAAGGGTCCATTGTACAGAAACTGAATGAACTTCATTATGTGAATGTTTTGCCTGCAGAGATCACCCGAAATTCATCACTCAGGAAAACAGATGCTATGTGACATGAATGTAATGATACATAAATTAAACAGGAGGCCAAAATAAGGTTTGAATCCACAGAGAACAGTTCAGCTTTCTGCCCTTTAAAGATTCAATGTGGAGGAAACATTTGAGCAGCAGACAGAGACAGACGAATGCTAACGCTACATTATTTTCCGTCTACAGGAAGTCACCCTCGCTCATCACAGTGGACGACTCGGACGGTGAGGAGAAGAAGAAGCCAGCTCTCCCTGCCGACTCTCTGACCAGCGACTCTCACTGCGATGCCAACGCCGCCATCCCTCCTCTGACCTGGAGGAAGCCCTAACAAACACTGCTACTACAATCAGAGAATGTCACACTAACGCTCTCCTCTTCCTGTAGTGTGGTTCCATAGCCTAAATCTAATGGGGGGTGGGGGAAAAATTGAGCTGTGTACAACTTCACAACTTCCACACATCTAAAATTATGTCTCAGTGGTTTTTGTTCACCCATAGTAAAAATGATTTTAAATCCAGCAGATGTAAAAATGTATGTTCTTGGTCTTTAAGCCTCTTTCGAAGCAGCCAGTCTGATGATGTTTGGTTACTTTTACTGTTCACAAACTCAACAGCAGGTGATTAAAGGCAAAGGAGAAGAACTTAAATCTGTTATTGAGAGCAGAAAAGTTTCACCCACATACACACAAAAGTAGAATTTGCTTGCAAAGCTTGTAGAGTGAATTATAGAAAGATCTGAGCTTCATCAAAAAGGCAATAATCATTCACTTGATGTTTAACTGCTGCCCTCCTGTGGTCATCAGCTGTAACTGCACCTTAGTGAAGGTCAAACAGAACAAAATGGAATTTTGTCAGACATTCACAGAGGGACATATTTTATTTTGCGCACTGACCTGGCTGTTTAGTGCAGGAGCCAATCATTTGCACAGTTTTAGTAATAATGCCTTTCAGCTGCAGCTGCACAGACAAAGTGACGCACAATGAAAGAGTTTGCACACGACTGTGGTTAAGAGTCTGAACAGTTTACTAATTAACCAAATTATTTATGATAATGAAATGCTTGTTTTTATTCTGTGTTTTGGTTACTTGTGTATAAACCTGTCATGTGCTGCAGCTTTGAAATGTTGCAATTATAAGCAGATGTTTAATTCCTAAAAATGTAGTTACATGTTCATGATTTTCTGGGATTTTACTGAAAGTAAACTAAATATTAAACAAAAATTTCACATTCATCTCCACCTATCAAAGCCCAACTTGCCTTAAACTGATTTCTAATATGACACCTTCTGTGATAAAAAACATTGTAGCTGCATGAGAGTCAATGTTAGTCATGAGAGCTGTCCTGAAGATGCATCTTTGAGCATTCAATCCTCTTATTTTCTTTCTTAATTAGAGTTTTTTGGTTTTGCTGGTGCAGTCCAGTGTACAAGTTTATACCGGTTTAATTTTGTGCAAACAGGCATTTGTCGTTGTAACGTGTTCTGGCAAATTAAAAAGTAGCCCACATCAGCAACCTGTGCCAACAGCTTCAAAGAGCTACATCCAGCTTGTACTGCAGTAGTGATAAGCAATTTTACAAGATGATTAAGATATTTCTACGCTGATAAACAGACTAACGGAGCCTCTAGTGTCTGACAGGCTGAGAGCCAACACAGCAACACATGTTTTTTTTTACCAGAAAGTTTGTGTTTTTCGGGGTAAAGTGACAAGACATGGAGGAGTTAGTCTCTCAGTTTGGATTTGAAGCACACGAAGGAGGTGTGACAACATGGACATGAGTGACGCAGTGCACCGTATTGAGCTGCACCTTGGTTAGACGCTCCCTCTAGTTACTTGTGTGTCTTGCATTGAAAGCATCACAATGGACGAGGAAAGCCTGATCCATCATTTTGAATACTGAATTATGAAGGTACTTGCAGTTGGCTGTATTGTATGTCATTTCTGGTAGAAAATATCACACTTTAAAATGTGTTTTCAGTTTAAAAAGAACAAATGAATATTAAGTATTCACCCATATTTTAAGTGGTTTCGTCTCCAGTCTGATCTGGAGTGCACAGCTGATATAAATGTGGTTTGTTTACACGATGTAACAGAGATGCATAACTAATGGATTCAATGTGGACAGAGAGCTCTGATGTTACGCGGTGCAAGGAGATAGTCGAGTCCTTGCTTGCTCAGTGAACCAGTCCGGTGTTTGGCTTAATATCAAACCGGTTTGAAAACTGTTACACCGGCCCAAAGAATATTTTAGAAGTACATATTAGGAAACTCCAAACACCAAAACAACACTGACATTGTTTTTTACTGAGAGTTTTAGACAGATGAAAAACCATGCTACTTTAAATCTGTGTAATGTAATTTAATAAGTTATTTTGATTTGGCTTAAAATGCAACCTGTGTAAAGGACAGATGTTAACTAACTAATCATTATTTTCATTGATTAATCCTGCAATTACTTTCTACAAAATTCTATAAAATAAAACTAAAAAGCGACGCGACAGTCAAAAGCCAAAGATCTTCAGTTTACTTGACGTGGGCAATCAAATAGTTAATATTTGAGGAGCTAAAACCTGTTCAGTTTGGGGCATTTTTACTTAAAAAATTGTAAAATTATCAAAATGAAGGCTGATTAACATTATGTCAGTCGATTAAATTACTTTTTTAATTAATTGTTTCAGTTCTTCACAGATCAACTTACACATTTTTTAAAATATGAATTTAGTTTTGAGAATTGGAAGAGATTTTCAGCTGAGGTGAAATTTTTCTTAAACAAATTAAAAGGGAAGGCGTCGAGCCATCCTGTGTTATGAAGTCATTACTCCTGAAATCCCATCATGCAACACCTTTGACACATGTCCGCTGCAGAGATCATTTGTTTGAAAGAACTTGTCTGTGATTATGAGATGTTTGGCAACAACAGAAATTGAAGGGAAATTTTATTTTTGTTTTTATTTTACAAAAGTAAAAACCTATTTTATGAATGTACAGTTTGTAAAGGCTGAATATTGTATCTGATGTACATAATAAGGCTGTGTATATTGCTGAACTATCTATTATGTACGCTTCATGTTCTTATCATGTAAAGTTAGCTGAATGCCACTCAGCCTTTTATTTATTCCTTACTTTTACTTTTGCTTACTCTTAACAGATTGAGACATCATAGTAGGACAGCTGGCATCAGTATCATTTAAGAAGGGTTGTCTCTTGCTGCAGTGATTCAAAGTTAAAGTGACCTCTGAGTTTCCTGATGAAGGATGTGTGTGTATATATATAGTATGTAGAGGAAAGAAGCCATTTTGCAAAAGATGTTTAAAAAATTATGATTTTTTTTTTTTTTTACTTTGTTTGTGCCAGTTTTTCTGTCGTTGTTGACATGAGTGTGTCACAGTTCACCTCTACAAACACATCATCTCTCATTATATGAATGTCTGCTGAGTCAATAACCTGCCATGTTCACCCAAAAAACAGATCCATGAAAGGAACACTTTTAGTTTTAGTCCTGTTGTTTTCTTCTCAGAGCACATTTCTAATCAAAATGAACATGCTTGTTTTCATCTATTAACGTATTATTTTACACTTTCTCAGCTAGTGCTCTGAGAAGAAATGGACTAAAATGCAACATTATTCCTTTATGTATTATTATATCAAGGAGAAAAAAACACAGCAACTGCAAGTGTACAATATACTTAAAGCAAAATAGACGGACATTACTCACCTTATCAAACTGTGTACAGGCGCTGCTTCAACTGAACTGTTGACATCTATATTATCAGAATGTAAATACTATCTGTGGAAAGAGCAGAAAATTGAAATAAATCAGGTGTGAAAGGAAAGACAATGACTTAAAGACCTCATGTAACAGAAACGAGAGAGTGTGGCCGAAACGGACTTCAACAGGTCAGCATGTACTTGAGCTAAGCGCTATTCTTTATATTTAAAATAGTGTCTGTGAGCTCTCTGTGGCTGATATAGTTCAGATACTTAGTTTGGTTTGTGTAAATTGAGTCATTGTTTTGATGAGGTCTTTAACTTTTTGTTTTCTTTATTTCGTAGAGCTGTATGTTTGAGCAATTCACAGAAGCTAAATGAAAAATTGTCCAGAATAAAAGACATAATAGAGTCTTTTGTGTGTTGTGAGTTTGTTGATTACAGTGATGAAAAGTGACTTAAGTACATTTACTGGACTGTTACAGTTATTTATGTACTAAATTTCCACCAAATTGGTCAATTTATACTTAAATTCCACAACATTAAAAGAAAATGTTTTACATTTTACTGCACGCCATTTAACATGTACAGTTACTTTGCAGATTAAGAATTTACATGTTAAATGTGCATCAGGTATGATAAAGTACTTTTGGAAAAGCTTCAAACCAAACTGGAGAAACACTTGATTACAAGTAAAAGTTTTGCAATAAAAATGTGACATAAGTAAATGTAAGTATTGTTGGTACCAAGTACCTAAATTTTTAAAAATAAAATGTGTTGTATTATTACATGCAGTGATTGAAAGTAAATTGGGTAATCCATTTCCACAGGACTGTCTACTTTATACTTGTCGATAAAGAGTCTCAGTCATCCAGGTCATGGTAATCATAAGTGCTATATTGTAGGCAACTGGACTTTATATTTAAATTCAACTAAAACAAGGTGGTTTATCCATGTGTTAATAAAGGGTTTCTGAACACAGAGTGCTTCAGATGCATTTTTGAATTGCCTGCCTGTACCATGGACTTTCACAGCTGGCCAGTCGTTGTTTTTTATCTTCATGTGAAATATAATACATTTTATTACATAACAGTTACTTGCAAATTAAGATTTTTTGTAGATTATTACAAGAAGTTACTCAGATCTTTTACTTAAAGGGTAACTGTGGTATTTTTCAACCTGGGCCTTATTTCCCCATGTTTTTGTGTCCAAGTGGTTCATGAGAAGAGCGGTTTTTGAAATTGGTCCACTATTCAGCAAGAGCCCTGCAGCTAGCAGCCGCCAAACAGGCTATAATGTAACAACCCGTCAATGTATGCCCACTTAAAGTGTTTGTTTTTACTACTGACAAGATCCAGATTGTTATTTTAAGTGTCTGACAACATTATGGAAAAAGGAGAGATAGACAACAGAGATAGACCTTTTTGGAAAAGAGTAGGTTCCTTATTGTTTGACCAGAAACAGTTCTGACATCACCAAACTCCCCAGACTCCATTTAAATTCACATTAATTTTACCGTGTATAGAGCCAGCACAGTTTCATATCTGACGGGGTGAATTAAGGCTTTATTTCAACGAAAGCAGAGTTGGTGATTGTTGGAACACTGGAAAGACAAAATAAGACAACTTTTGTGAGTTTTATTTTGTTTCTGTCAACTTTGAATGAAGTGTGTTTTACGATGATAAGATTACTGTTTATTTAAATGGAGTCTGGTGGGTTTGATGATAGCTATATTCAGGGCTGTTTCTGGTAAAACCAAAAGGATCTTACACCTCAGCAAAAAGATCTATCTCTGTAGGGATCCTTTCCATAATGTTGTCAGACTAGTATAATAATAATCTGAATCCTGTCAGTGGCAAAAACAAAAACTTTTAGTAGACACACACTGACCGTGTGAACATGCCCCGAGTGGTTACATTATTGCCTGTTTGGCAGCTGCCAGCTGCAGGGCTCTTGCTGAATAGTGACCAGTTTCAAAAACTGTTGTTCCCATGAGCCACTTAGACACAAAAACATGGGAAAAAAGGGTCCAGCTTGAAAAGTGCCAAAGTCACCCTTTAGTAAAAGTAGCACTACCAGAGTGTAAAAAAAGTCTTACTCAAGTAAAATAACGTAGGTTTTAGTTGTGAATTATACTTCAAGTACCAAAAGTAAAAGTACTCATTGTGCAGAATGGCCCACTTCAGAATGATATTATATTATATTACTACAAGTAAAGGTAAGTAAAAGTATCAATACTTTAGCAAAAGTCCTGTATTCAAGATTTCACTTAAGTACAAAAGTATTACAAAACACACTTTGAGTATTAAAGTCCTTGTAAAAGTACTTGTTGGGCAGAGCCTTTCTTTTAGTGGGTTATAAGGGTGAGAATCGGCAGAGGACCTACGATACAATATTATCTTGATTCTTAGGTCACGATGATACAATATTACTACAATATTAAATGTATTGCGATATGCTGAGAATTGCAATAATATACAGTACAGGCCAAAAGTTTGGACACACCTTCTCATTCAATGCGTTTTCTTTATTTTCATGACTATTTACATTGTAGATTCTCACTGAAGGCATCAAAACTATGAATGAACACATGTGGAGTTATGTACTTAACAAAAAAAGGTGAAATAACTGAAAACATGTTTTATATTCTAGTTTCTTCAAAATAGCCACCCTTTGCTCTGATTACTGCTTTGCACACTCTTGGCATTCTCTCCATGAGCTTCAAGAGGTAGTCACCTGAAATGGTTT